ACGCGATGTATTTATTAAGTCCTTTATTCGAACACTGTATTTACCTTTCTTTGATGATTTATATATGATTTAACAGTGTTAACGGCTACCTTGATTTATGTTATATGCACCTATTTGTTTCTAGCCGTACCTATTGTGTAATAGAGTGTGTCTGGTGGTATTTGAATCTGTTCAACCATGAAGCCTCAGTGTGTGTGTGTGTGGGGGGGGGGTGGTGTGTGTGATGTGTAGTGACCAACCTCATCAGTATTCTCTGAGCAACCTCATCAGTCTTGCAAGAATTGGGATGGTGGGAACTGCCTGCATCCGAGAGGCTCTTGTTATTTCTCAAGAGGATCTTTTCCATCTGGATACTCGACATTAACGAGCCAGCTTGACCTGATGCCATTAGCCTATACAAGGAGTTACCAAAGTGGTACGGCCGGCCGCAGCAGTGTTGACAATAATAGTCCATATCTTCAAGAAGATCGCCCAGATCAGAAAACTGTTTCTTAGATAAACCCTCGCATCTGGTTGAAGTAGATAATCAAAAATATTTTAGTTTTATAGAAAAATAATTACCGGTATGTCAAAAATAGCATTGCAAGTTTTTACTCTCAGTACGGTACGGCGGCAATTCATTTCTTTTATTTGGATACTTTGTTGCCAACATTTGCGTATAAGTATTAACAAAAGGGACATAATTTATTAGAATAAACAGCAGAGGAAATAAAGTCGACCTTATTGTCGTCTGTGGGATAAAGACGATCTTATTGTCGTCAACGGTCTATTGTTAAACGCGTCATCAGTGTTAGTTAACGAGTTACGCCTTTTGGCAGCACACCGAAACACCCGAAAGTCTATAAATTAACGCTGTGGCTAGAGATACGGTACCGTATCGGAACTTCCGAATGCTAAAGGTACGGTAAATGATATTACGTCATGATTAGCCAATAGAAATGACCGACTCGATTTTGGCTTTTTTGCAAAGTCGACGTCGCGATCATGAGGAACGTGGCGCGAACAGTTACGATCAAATTTATGTCATAAAACTTCAGGCCCATTTCATGTATATCGATTGGGGCTTATCACAATGTTTGGGTTAAAAATTCTTTTTGTTATTCTTGCGTATTTTATGGTCTACCATAGAGAAGGGTCTACTAAGGCTAGGCCTAGGGCCTATCCCGAATACCCGCCTAGGGGCATACTTATAGACGTACTACTAAGCTAGGCTTAGGAGGTTTCAGGGGTAGCTAAGGCCTAGGCCTGGCTTCTACTATTAAAATAGTTTATTCTCGCTTGATGTCGCCAAATCTACCAAAACTGCTATCATTTTTATTAGTTCCTATGCATGTAATGCAATAGGAACTATTGTAATCACTCTCACATTTCTTTTGTTTTTTATTGTGTGTAGTATGTGTGTGCGTATGTGTGTAGACATTTATGCAAATGCGCATGCGTCAAACAAAAGTTTTCCGACATTTTGTTTTTACATCGCGATGCGAAGTTCGATGTGGATTTCCTGCAGAGTTCAGTCAGGGCTCACGCTAACCGATCGGCAAGTCGGTATGCATGAAACTATTTAGGTTTTACGGCAAAAAAAAAAAAATCAACTGTGGCATAGGTATTTTGAAGAAGGCCTAAAATATAACAAAAAGGTTTTAATACTTGCTGAAATACATCGTTTTTTCATTTAGATCTCCATTTTTCACTAACTCCATGCGACGTTTTTTTCTGTTGTATGAGTAGTCCATAGAGCTATTAAACAACTAGTGTTGACAAGATGGCGCAGCAATGCAGAGTTATGTATGTGTACCATCCAAGATGGCCGTCGTAGTAAAGCGCCACCTTCAGGCTTAGTATATTACATATTAATAAGCCCTCTGACTGACTATTATTTCATTATTGATAATGAGTAATGGTAATAACAAATTATTAAACTATTGTAGCCAAAACGAGGCCAAGTGGAGCATCTTATTCAAAAATAAAGTACCAAGGAATGAAAATTAAAATCGTGTACATTACACCCAAATACCGCAACGCTCGAGTTTCAAACATACGGGTAGCTAGCTGTACTGAACCAAAGATCTTATAAACACAAGATAGCGTTCTCCGCGAATTACGCGTAACAAATAGAAGCGTCGGTCAAGGTTCAAAAGTTTCCAATTTAGCAAGAGGGCGCCATTCATGCGCTATTATGCCAAAGAGAAAAAGTAATCAACTTTGGAAGAGGGCGTCCTATCTGTTGCCATGGATCTGAGATGGTTCCTGTTCTGCTGTTTACAGGATTGATACCCTAGGGTAAAGTCGCGCGGTGTACGGTGTGGTAAGAGCGGTCAAGGGTCAAAAGTTTCCAATTTAGCAAGAGGACGCCATTCATGCTTTATTACAGAATTTGCACGCGTAAATCGCGGAGAACGCTATCTTGTGTATATAAGATCTTTGTACTGAACCCCAAAGATCTTATAAACACAAGATAGCGTTCTCCGCGATTTACGCGTAACAAATAGAAGCGTCGGTCAAGGTTCAAAAGTTTCCCATTTAGCAAGAGGGCGTCATTCATGCGCTATTACCGAAGAGAAAAAGTAATAAGTTTTTGAAGAGGGCGTCCTATCTGTTGCCATGGATCTGAGATGGTTCCTGTTCTGCTGTTTACAGGCGGTGTACTGTATGGTCAGATCAGAGCGGTCAAGGGTCAAAAGTTTCCAATTTAGCAAGAGGGCGCCATTCATGCCTTATTACAGAATTTGCACGCGTAAATCGCGGAGAACGCTATCTTGTGTTTATAAGATCTTTGCTGAACCCTCTGAGTAAATTGAGGGCGCAATTGCAAACGATGGTGCTTAGCAAAATTTGATTGGCTAAATCTATGGCAGCGTAGTCTGCGTATTTCGAACATCGAATACATTGCGGTTAGCGCTCTAGTATTCTTATTATCAAAGATACTAGAAATACAAGATAGAGTTCTCCACACAAAAAAAGTGTTCCACCGAAATGCATGGTGGGAATACGAAAAATGGGACGCCCCTTACAGCTGGATCTAAAAAAAACTTGTGCCAAACTTTCGTTACCAAGTCGTCGCGTATTTTATTATCAATTCTCAACAAAGATACTAGATATAAAAACAAACTGGAATAGACACCCAGACAGTGACATCGGTGAATACATAACCTCCTTGGTGACGGTAGAAATCGTTGCTATTATCCAAATAATACACAAAACAATTAAAGCATAATCATGAATTAGTAAAGAATAAAACAACAATACAGCGCAGAATCGCATGGCCGGACGCACTCTTAGTGAAAAAGTTTTCCTGCATTAGTGGAAAAGGAAGGGCGCCTTTTGCGTCTGGATATACTTAGCAACAGAAGGGCGCCCTGTACGTTGGGCACGAAGTATAGGAATCTTGCCTTGTTAAAAAGAAGGGCGCCGCCTACGTTGGGCACGACTTCCGCCTCATTTTTACAATGGGAGAACTATATCTTGTATTTCTAGTATCTTTGTTATTATCAGTGGCGTAGAAAAATATTTTTCATTGGGGGGCGGGGGATGATTGGCGTCGTAACAGGCGCGGGGGCGGGCAGGGGGAAACTGCCCCTCCCCTGACGGTTTTTACCGGGTTGACCAAGCCGTCGTACCGGGCTGGGTAATAAGAGAAAAGAAATAGGGGAGGTTGAGGGAAAGAGAAAGAAGAGGAAAAGAAAAGTCTGCATTAGGAATATGACTCTAGAGGAAGGTGCTCAACCGCCATTTAAGCATCCACAGCAAAACGAAGGAGGTGTTCCTGTCTCTTATACACATCTAGATGTGTATAAGAGACAGCATTATTTCTGTGACAGTCTTTTGAAGTGTGTAAATCTCCATTTTATCCCATACATAGTCAAAATATTGGGGGGATGATACAATGGCCCCCCCCCCCCCCCCTTGTCAAATATTGGGGGGGGGGGGAATATATCCCCCATCCCCCCGGGATCTACGCCTATGCTTATTATTATCTCTATGGAGTAGTCATATGAAGGTACCATATCCCCGACAGTTGGCTATGCAGCAATGTACACTTTGGATACAAATTGAAGACAAGTGAAGATATAAAGGCAGCCGACTGTCGGGTACATAACGACTATCTAACTTTCCACAAAAACATTAATTAGGCCTAAGCTAGGCCTAGTTCAGTACAGTAGTTACTGCGATGCGAGGGTGGTAGATCGTTCAGTCAGTGTTATCGTCTAAATTTGCTATTATGACAACCGTGTGGTGGCGTCAGAATAGCCAATTTAACACTGGAATTGAAGCAGTGCCTCCAAGAGTATGTGCGCATGCTCTTCTAATCACAAATCGGGACCTCCACTGCCGATCGGGTATTCTATATATATGCCTAATCTCAATGTTTGCATGCATATAACCAGTACAGAAGAAACTTTGAATTATTATTATTTGAATTGAAATATGTTAAAATAGAGGAATAGGAATTATTTTGAATTCCTATTCCATGCCGGTATTAAAAATAACATACATTTGTATTTTGACTATAGAACGTAATCCGATCCTGTATAGTAGTAGGCTTACAAACTTTTCCTACCAGCAGACCCTAGCGTCAGTGGCTTAGAAGTCTTGAAATGGAAGAGAGCTGATGTGAGTGGAAATGTAAAGTGGGGATCGGTGATTAGGTGAGGGGGCTAATTCGCAAAATAATGTGATTTGAGGTGATTTTTAACTGCTTGAGCATGATTTTTGGGTGGGGGATGGGCGAGTATTTTTTTAGGGGGGAGGGGCGTGCATAACCCTTGCACATCCTAGATATGCCAACACCTAGCATACCCTGCAATTTACCCTATGGTCTGCCACTGCTCATGAGCAGTCAATATTTGTATATTACTCACCAAAGATGACGTCATCATATTTTCGCCGAGTGGGTATTAAAGTTGTTTACCTCACTAAAGTCCTATGCTAATGCATTGAGCAGAGTCGAAAGTGGTGTATATTACATCTTCTAAAATGTAATGAAGATGGCATAGAAGATGAAGATACTTTTTATAGCAACATTGATTGGACCATGGAACATTGATTTCCAAAATTATCCTCACACAAATTTAAAATCCTATTAATTTTCTTTCTGTATTCTGTTTCTACACGTTTCTTACGCCCGTATTCTTAAAACAAACTTTAGTCGAACTTCGAACTAGAATTTCATTTAATGCTAGTTGCAACTTCAACCTCAATTTGTATTCACAAATAACGTAGTCGAAGTTTTAACTATGACTAAATCAAGTCCTAGTTTTAGTTCAACTGAAGACGACTGGCAAGCAACAACTATCAAACTAACCAATGAAAAGAGCTAATTTTAAATGCAGACAAAATTTTAGAGATCCGGTATTGCGGATGAATATTAAGCTGCTATCTGTGGTTCAAAAATGTATTTCCTCATAATTCATAATAGATCATCATTTGCTTAATTAATTTTCTATAATAATAACTATATTAGTTAACATATTACAATAGAGAATTTAAACAGTGACTGAAAATTTGCTTTCTTTGGAGTTAAGCCCGAGCGAGGGCGGTGCCATTTGTTGTTGTTATGGCGAAGTTACGTGACCGCAGCGCGAGGGAATTTCGTGCAAATCAGGAACTATCGCATGTGGCTGGAAGAATCATGTTAATTTCTCCTTTTGGAAGCTAAACTTGATGTCTCTTTTGTTTAACACACTGAAGATATATCAAACCTGCGTATACAATCGTTTTTATTCGTTTCACTTTATCGTGAGTTATTTCAAAGTCGGCGATTTAGCCTGACCCTAGGCTGGCTTAACAAATCGGCCCGCGGAGGTATCATTTTAGTTGAGGTTCGGGTCATTTAGGCGCAGTGCTTGTCGAAGTTAGTTTTAAGAATACGAAATGACGTAATTTTTAAGTTTTAGCTCGAACTACGACTCTAGTTCGTTTTAAGAATACCGGGGTACGTCCTTCCTAATAAAAGGGTCGTGACAAAGTGTGAGTCATGCGAGCCAACGCGCGAGCCATCCCTTTGGAAAATACCACACAGTAAACACAGTGTGGAAAACTATGTGTTCACATAGTGTACACACACGGCGTGTTAACAGTGTGTACCCTGTGTGAATAACTCATTGACTATATGAAATTGGTGAGGTTTTCACACTGTGAACTGTGTGAAACACATTGTTGACACACAATAAACACAATTGACTATGTGTTATTGGTGAAGTTTACACAAAACTTTTTGTTCTACAGAGATTCAGTGTCACCACGCAGTAAAACCATCAAATAACATGCACAATCTCAAAGTTCTCACCTTCATCTTGCAAGGTACTACAAAATAAAATATTAAGTTTTTAAACTGATAAAATATACATTTATTAAACTAACTTTTATGTACATATATAAGCACTATCATAAGATATATTGCATAATAGTCAGACGAATTATGTATGTGTTATAACATTTTTAAGTTAAAAACCTACATTAGTCAAATGTATACAGTAACTGTTTCACACTAAAATTATTGTTTTGCTTAAACAAGTTTACAATTTTTTTAATTCTTTTTATTGCGTATAGACGAACAGTTACTTAGATGGTAAAGCATGCTCTCATCTGTATGATATGAAATAAATTTTTAAAAACAATTAAATTACAAAACTTTGCTAAGTTACCTTTAGCAAAGATAATTATTAATTACAATTTAAAATTTAAAAATTACTGCACATTAAGCGCCTGTTAAACATTAGATGCTGTCTCCATTCCCTTTGACATGGAGCGACTTGTATCTTCACATATTTTAGTCATCTTGGATTTTACAGCTGCTGACTAGATATCTGGGTTTTCTGAAATTATATGAAAAAATATTGTCACAAAACTTCGGAAATATAGAGAATTACATTGTTCTTAAAAAATTTCTATGTTCGAGTAGAACTGTATATGCAGTAATAATTTTGAAATTGACATGTTTGAAAGACAATTAGATTCATAAATTGTGAACTTTAATTACTAAACCCGGAGTACACCATGAAACTCATGTCATCATGACAACACAAACTTGTGTAGTGACATGTAATAGCAAGTATCAGGCAACATAATGCTGCAATAACAGTGGCCTGCTAGTTTCATTATTGTAATGGTGTTAATGTGGGACTGGAGTAGGTTTCATTATTGCTGACAATACTGTATTCTAATGTTTTATGTGTAGATATGAAACATTAATCATGGCCGGCGGAACCGGGGGCCGGGCGGCCCGGGCCCCCCACTTTTTGGCGAAAAATATATAATGTCTGGAGATTTTTGTATGATCGGAAATGCAAAAAAAGAAGGAGGAGAAGGATGGGAAAGAGAATGTTTATCCAGTACCCGACCGAGTTACATTTTCTTGCAATTCATATTGGCGGATCTGGGGGAGGGGGGTCATTGGTCCTTACCCCTCCATTGGGCAACAGGAAAAGGGCAAAAAGAAAAGAATTCTAAACCTACCTTTTCATGACCCGTGAGCTGAATTCTTTTCTTTTTTGCTATTAGAAAATTTTGAAGAACATAAAATTCATAAAAACACGCTTCAAATGTCGGGAAAGCTCAATTCCCGCCATCTAGGAATCAAAATTTTCCCAGGGGAGAACCCCCGTACCACCCTTTCTTTTGGGATTTATCGATTCATGGAAAAAAGAATACGCATGCAACTACTCATTTGTTTATGTATGTGTACACACATAAAATAAAAAATGAGAAAAATTTACCTGACCTATTTCAAGAGGGGAAAACTTTGAACCTTGAACCCGGGAAAGTGCTAGAAAATCTCAAATTTTAAATCGCATATTTTGTTGAGGTAATATTTTTCGCGCGCTTCGCGCGCATTGTTTAATGTTAAAGCTTCTGCTTGCTCTCCTTTGCCTATAATAATTCTTATATTGATTCTTCTTAAGCCTTCCAAATCTCAATGCTTTACCTATTGTATAGCAACTGCCATGTACTATTTTTTTCTGGACTTGAAAAGTTCCGACGAAATTAAAATTAAAAAAACAAAAATTTTTTTAATGTTAAAGCTTCTGCTTGCTCTCCTTTAGCGCTATAATAATTCTTCTAAGTTATAACACATTGTCCCAAACTCAAGAAAGAAAATTTAAGATAGATCGTTTTACCTAAAAGAAGGGCCTCAATGTGTAATGATGTTGAAAGAATATACTTGTGTTAAATAAAGCCATAAGGAAAATGCTTATATTCAGTTTTAAAAAAAAAACGAGTGTGGCCATATACAACATAAGAGCATTTCTTGTTGAGGTAGGCCAATTTCCTCTAAGAATTGCACATTTTAGGGAGTTTTGATCAATTCCGACGAAATTAGAATTAAAAAAACGTTATTTTTTA